AGTATCTTATCACCTAAGTCAGCCCATACCCTGCCTGTATACCAAATGTCATCAAAATCCGTTCAGTACTCTCCCAGCGTGATTGACGGAGAAACATCTAAAGAGATGTTCACATTTACAATATTAGTTTGATAACATCAACTCTTCACTGATTATGATGCCCAATTACCCCCCTCTCTTTCCCCAATCCCTGAATCTCCTACAATCCTCAAATTCCTAATCTTCACTGATTATGATGCCCAATTACCCCCCTCTCTTTCCCTAATCCCTGAATCCCCAACAATCCTCAAATACCTAATCCCAAAAGGCCGGTAACGCACTTGTAACGCCTCTGGTGTTCCAGGTGTCCATGGGCGACGTTGATTGCTTATCATCAGGTGATCCGTCTGCTCGTTTACCGGCTTATGCCATAAAAAATGTCATCATCATCAACAGCCATTAAATGCCCACTGCTGAGCAAAGCCTCTTCTCACACGGAGAATATTTGAGCATTAATCACCACGCTTGCTCAATGCGGGTTGGCGATTTCAAACTTATAAGTCCAGGTTTCCTCACGATGTTTTCCTTCACCGTTTGTCAGTGGTGTCTAAATAATCTTAGAAAGTACATAAAACTCGGAAAAAGTCACATTGGTACTTGCCGTTGGTACGTTTCAAACCGGCGCTCTCATTTATGAGAAACGGGCGTCTCAAACCTCCAGGCCACCACCACATTAGAAAAAAATGTCATGAGTCCCATGTAAATGGGGGACCCATAAGTTTATCGTTTATAAAATACGGTTTTATATACAAGGTGTAGTTTTGAAGCCGTGTCATTTCTCGGGGGCATGTCACAGACGTCATATAGGTGCAATGTAAGAGAAAATTTCGGGTCAATAGTTAAAAATACGCCTAAAATAAATCGTTTAAGTTGGACAATATTTCAGAAAAAGCGACAGCAATGCTTCTTATTGAAGTTTTATGGAATTAGGAATAATATTAATTATGTGTTTGAGTTTGTATGTGTTAAGCCGCGTTATAAATCTAGTTACAAGACGGCGGCGTGTAGTTCGCACTTACGGATTTCCGTAATTTACAGAAAAATGAAAAATATTTACCTACCATTTTTTTATTGATTCGGACTCAGAATCGACAGCCGAGCTACCTCCTAGAAAATGACGCGGCTTTAAAACAACACCTTGTATATTAAAATTCATTACATATTATATTTATTTTATCCAAAGCTCTTGAGAATTGGATGTTGTGTACCAAAATTAAAATGATTTTTTTTATTATTTATATTAATTAGTTTATAAGTAGTTTAAGTTTATAAATCTAAATTATAAGTTATAAGTTTATATTGTTTTTCGACTCATAGGCTAGAGATATTTATTAAGATTTTTCTTTATATTAAATTAATGTTATATAATATTGAAATTTCCTCCAATTTATTGTTAGTAATTTAGTTGAAAACTCATTATTTTTATTTAGTTGTTATTTTTATTGAATTGTCACAATGTTGTAAACAATTTGAGATATTTGTTACATTTTTTGTTATACGTGGACACGTTTTATTTCCCGGAGAATTTATTACATTTTGCTTTCATATACAATCTTGTCCTAAAATCCTTACTAATATTATAAATCTGAAAGTGAGTTTGTTTGTTTGTTCCGTTTTCACGCCATAACTACTAAACCGATTGCTTTGAATTTTTGCAAACGTAAAGTTAGAAGTCTGGATTAAATAATAGGGTACTTTTTATCCCTGAAAAATTGATATTCTCGAGAGATAAAACGAAATCATTAGTATAGATGGCGCTGTGTGTATATGTCACATAGGCTACTTTTTACCCTTTTGTGACGCAAGCGAAGCCGCGGGTAAAAGTTAGTGATGAATATAAGAGAAATAATTCAATGCAGTCGTTCAGGAGTTATGCGCGTACTTAGGCGATTCATTATTAAATTAGATTATTAAGAAACCTGTATTGTTTTATAATTTGTGAAATAAATATACCACCTCATATTTAAAAATCTATACATTATTCGAAGTATTCTAAAACGAACTTCATGACTAAGGTGTTAACGTTTCCTTTTCGTTAACAATATTTTAATATAAAACAAATATCTCAAATTGAATACGTTTCAAAAAGCTATCCTAGTTAAATTTGTTTTTTAAACGAAATTATATATACGACATTCATTACATTTGGTTATTTTTGTATATATATAAAGAACTACTTTTTAAATTGTATATATATATATATATGGAAAAAAATCGTTTTGAAAATATTCAATAAGTCGATAACAACATGGAGTCCGGAATTGTGTCCGGTATATGGCAATAGACTCACCCCCTATTACATGGGACTCAAAACATAAATAGTGAAAAGTGGGTGTTACATTGTACAGTGGCATAATGTACACCTCTGCCTACCCCTTCGGGGATGAAAGGCGTGATGTTATGTTATGTAATATTCTTAAGAAACTCCATCGTTGATTTTATACTCTTATAAAAGTAGTTCCTTATATACATGTAATAAATAACTACAGAAAACATTGAATTTATTAAAATTATATTTATACGGTATATATGTCGAAATACTCAAACGCTACCATTTAAGTAGTGCTTAAATATAGTTCTGTCTCAACAAACTCTTTGTAAAATGACAGAGATAGCACGATATTTAAGTATAACTTAAATTTGAGTAGGCTTCCAGTATTCGGCCGATAATTATAAACAAGTAATACATTAATTGTTTAAGTAAATTTATAAGTTGGCAATTGTTATGTCTTATATTTGGTTAACCATATTGGTATTTTATTATTATTATTGTTAGATCTGTTAAACGTAATATAATATAAACGTCTAGTATCAGGAATTATATGAAATTTAATTTAAAATAATCTGGTTTTATTTCTCTACAAACAAATGAATCTACACTTAACCTTTTGAGTGCTGATATATGTATAAATAAAAATAAAATAAATAAAATTTTTATTCATAATAACACTGGTCAACATATGTACAAAAATATCTTAATTAAGCGATAAGATCTTAAAAATAATATGCCTATACTAGGAATATTCCTGTGCCACAGGCGATAGTAGCTCTAAAAATATGTTAATGATAAGGCAACTTATTTATAGTATATTTAAAACATTTCACACAATTTTCAGAAGTAAGGTAGGATTGTTTAGTATAGTATAACACTACATCACACTATATACCTACATACATATGATAGTAACATCACGCTTTTTATTCCCTAAAGGAGAAGAAAAAGTTGAACCTACGTAATACATTAATACAAATTTTAATAAACGTTGTAAGCTATTATTAATATATAAACTAGATAATGTGAAATGTTACTATGCTATCAATTATTTTTGATTATATATGATACACAATAGAAAAATACATTGTTGCTCGCGTAGATCTACGTTCATACCACGGGTTAAAAACAAAGACTGCATCGTCATCATCTTATTTATACTATGACTGCCTCATTGGCCGAGTAGTCGCAAATGCGACTGCTCATAGGGGTCTCGGGTTCGATTCCGGATCGGGCATAGTCTAACTGGGTTTTTTAAAATAAAATTCTCAGTAGCATCACGGAGTCTGGAATTGTGCCCGGTATATGGCAATAGGCTGACTCCCTATCACATGGGACTGATAACATAAATAGTGCAAAGTGGGTGTTACACAAAAAACTACCGTAAAACGGGGTGAATAGAACTCGAGGGGTGAATATATACAGAAGAGGGGTGAATCTGAATATACGTAAATGTTGGGAAAATATTCTAACATTTATTTACCCCATTCCTGTATCTATTCATCCCTCGAATGTCTGTTGAAGTTGGCGACCCCGTGTCTAGAGCCTTCAGGCTGGTGATATAACAAAACAAAACAAATGAAATAATGAATAAAACACTCGGTTAGTTTCGAAAATATTTAATTTTATACAACAAACTACTAAATTACACACCATAACAGTTTAATTCAAAATTAACGACAATATATCTCCTATTCTATATTAATACAAAAGAGGAGTTCCGCCTTATTGGTGATTCAGTCAAAGTCAATATTAGTTCCAGTTGCCAACGTGATTGTTTATTAACATATAATCAGAGCATATATATAACAACTATCGTCTGCCTCGTTGGCCGAGTGGCAAGGGGTCTCGGGTTCGATTCCCAGGTCGGTCAAAGTCTAAGTGGGTTTTTTTGAGAACGTAACGGGTTACCGGGGCTCCGGCTCAAAGTGCAGGAGAAGGAACGGGGTGGTTTATAGTCAGTAAGAGTCTGACACTCCCTCTCGCCTCACCCAGGCGGGAGCAGTCATTCGATGATTTTCTCCCCTTAAAAAAAAGCGGGTATTTTAAAAATTCTCAGTAGTAGCAGTTCTCAGGCACGGAGTTTGAAATTGTGCCCGGTATATGGCAATAGGCTCACCGCCTATTACATGGACTCGATAACATATATAGTGAAAAGTGGGTGTTACATTGTACAGTGGCATAATGTACACCCCTTCGGGGATAAAAGGCGTGATATTATGTTTATGTAATAATTATCGTGAGACATAGTAGACAAATGTACTAAAAATCGCGGGTTACTTACTTGAAAATACTGAGACAAGCTCTATTAGTTTCTAGTAACAGGAGATATTGAGAGCATATTTGAACCCTTTACCATTTGCAGCGGTTACCATAGCGATTGTATTGCAGTTTTTTTTAAGGGGGGAAAATCTTCGAATGACTTCTATCGCCTAGGTGAGGTGGGAGGGAGTGTCAGACTCTTACTGACTAAAAACCACCCCGGTCCTACTCCTGCACTTCGACCCGGAGCCCCGGTAAACCGTTAGGTTCTCCGCGACTCCGTATCGGCGTTAGTCCTATTGGGCCCCATCCGTGGTGGTTTGATGGCTCTTTGAGGCGCGCGCATCAGTTTTGCCTAAGTATATTTATATGTTCCTACTCCTGCACTTCGAGCCGCAGCCCCGGAAACCCGTTAAGTCTTCCGCGGTTTGTATTGCAGTTGCATGTTAACATATTCAAAAAAATCAAGTGACCAACTGCTCAGTCAGCCTCTCCTGCATATGAAATTATAGGGGCTTAGCCTAGCATAAGTTCTACTTTTAATAGGTTTCGAAGTTTACAGTTTTGTAATAAATATCTCATGTTTTCAGTCTAAACATAATACTTTTCATTTAACACATCAAACTCTCTTTACCAACTTCTACCTAAAGGCAGTAGATATATGTTTAATTGGATACCCTTTACACTCCGTATTTAATCATAGGCAACGGTCCAAAAGACCGTCTGGGCAGACTTTTAAAGACCATTATTTTTTGCATGAGTTCAGTCACTTCATCCCCGACCTTAGTATCATATACATTAACATTTTCATTTAAATAATTATCTATGACATCTGCGCTATAAAACTCTGACAATATAGGCCTTAATTGATCACTGAGCAGAACACCTCTAGCTAGTTGATTATTACAGTCTTGTATAGTACTCATGAATTCAGGGACATTAGTCCAAGAATTGACTTCAAAATCAGTTTTAATGTCATCCAGCTTCGCCAAACAACTTTTATAATCTGGAAAATTAATTTTATATACGACAACATTTTGAAACGAACATTCGCTGTTGTCATCAAGACTTACGTAGACTCTTTCGAAATCATCCTTCAAGAATTTATCGTATAATTGGCAATGAGTGTGGTTATTCAGAAATGCCAAGCTTATACCCTCGCGAAACAACTTAATTACTAACAAATTTAATATAAGACTTGGCATTGAGAACGGCAATAGTTCACACTGTCGCGCAAAATGGCTGTATCTCGACCAGCCAGTCAAAATGATGCCCTTGATTTTGACCCCACGTCTTGGCGGTTTATATATTACAACTTCATTCATCCATTTTATATGGTTTAAATAACGCTTCATTATATCTGGCGTTTTCGCATATATACCATCAGCTCCCTTGAATGCTGACGCCAACCAAATATTGTTAAAGATTTCATGACTTCGGTACAGTCGGGCCGTCTTCGTGTTTGCGCCATAGTCCCAGTCGACAATTTCCAAATTATTTAATTTATGTTTTAAACTTTTTAACTCATGTTTTAAATTGATTCGTGTCTGAGAATATATTTCGGACCAAGATAGGACTTTCGTTTTCGGACTTATATCGTGCACTATATTTTTCACATTAATCAGATGATCGTAGTATATTTGACTGAAAAAATAGAATAATAATTATCGTGAGATACAAGTATTATTTTTAAAATACACTCGGAAGCAAAGAAATGGAGCCACTAGCGTTTTTTCTTTCTTTTTTTATGGAATAAGCCGGTAAGCGAGCAGACACATCACCTGGAGGCTAGCGCCCATTGCATCCGTATTGCGTGGATATTGAATGAACTAAATGATATTGAGTTTAGCTATAGATTCCGTACTCTGAATGCTACTGTAACAGCTACTATAGGGGTTGTATAGTGTTGACATTGAATAATTATTGAGATTTTTAAGAGTGAGCACACCCGGAACACCAGAGGTGTTACAAGTGCGTTACCGGCCTTTTGGGGATTAGGAATTTGAGGATTGTTGGGGAAACTTTGAGGATTGTGGGATTGTCATACAACGATACACAAATTCACGTCGGTTTTCTGTAGTGTTTCATTTCTTGAAAAATATTTTCTGTTATTTTATTAATTGGTAACGTATGGTAACATTATTTATCGGTTTTATTTTGTGTATGTAGTTTTAAGCACTAGGCTTAAATTTTGGTAATTTTTGTTTTTTTTTTGTTCATACCATGTTACACACAGTGTGTTAGTTTACTGTTTTTCCTGTCGAAGGACTGCAGGAAGAGATTCCTACGGGAATATGTAGTTCCTATGTACCTCCAATTTATTTATATATGTATTCTCCTGTGTACTGTCTCTGTGTTGTGCATAAATAAATAAATATGTCGTATAAAATGACCTGTGACTCCTCTGGTGTTGCGGGTGTCCATGGGCGGCGCTGATCGCTTACCATCAGGTGATCCGTCTGCTCGTTTGCCTACTATTCCATAAAAAAAAAATAAAAGACAATTTCGTTACCTTTAAAATAAGAGCATATTTTGTTGTAAAATGAATATTTTTTTAAAGTCATTGAAAATTCGATAGAATGACAAAACCGCTAGTGCCTCCATTTCTTTGCTCCCAAGTGTATATGGCTTGCTTATTTAACTAATTCAGGAGTGCTCGATTACTTTCGAGTGACATTAAGGGCCCCGGTGTAATCCGAAATTAGTCGCTCATATAACATAACATAACATCACGCCTTTTATCCTCGAAGGGGTAGGCAGAGGTGCACATTATGCCACTGTACAATGTAACACCCACTTTTCACTGTTAATGTTATGAGTCCCATGTAATTCCTATTACTGTAGGCTCATCTCTTGGTGAGCCTATTGCCAATCGCTCATATAAATATTAACATATTTACAGGTATATATTGACTGCCTCGTTGGCCGAATGTTCGCAAGTGCGACTGCCGGTCAAGCGGTCTCGGGTTCGATTCCCGGGTCAAGCAAAGAATTATTAGGTTTAAAAAAAATCTCATTAGTAGTACGAATTCTGGAACTGTGCCCGGTATATGGCAATAGGCTTACCCCCTATTACATGGGATTTATAACATAAATAGTGAAAAGTGGGTGTTACATTGTATAGTGACATTTGTGCCATTTAGTGCCGTAATGTGCACCTCTGCCTACCCCTTCGGGGATAAAAGGCGTGATGTTATGAAAACTGAAGACGCCTTTTTTAAGTCGATTTAAAACAATGAATACTTACTGCGGTTGTAATTTTCTTTTCGTACAATTTGAGCATATATTTATGTTGTAGACTTCATCGCACCCAATGTGAATGTATTTTAGTGGGTGGACGGCGTTATGGAAGGTAATAACCTGGGAACAGATGTTTGAACTATTGGTTGACACCTGGGGGCTTACTCTTGAATCCCAATTCCGATCGATCGACATTGGTATTGTAAAATTTCATACTCTCGAGTTGCAACACTAGCGCCCATTGCATCTGTATTGCGTGGATATTGAATGAACTAAATGGTATTGAGTTTGGCTTTATATTCCGTACTCTGAATGCTATCTTAACAGCTGCGATAGGGGTTGTACAGTTTTGACAATGTATAATAGAGTAGATGACTTAAATTTGATTTAATGTCCGTCTGGTAGATTAATTTAAAACATTACACACGTATTTTTATTTTCTTCCAGAAAAAAATACTTTCGACGATATAACGACGAATTGAAATATCGCGTGACGTCACTTCTAGAGCCATTTTATACATAGAAATGACGTGGTAGCTCCCACTCATAACTTTGATTCGTTTTATATAAATATTCTTTTATTATACGACAAAATAATAAAATACGTGTCTAATATTTTTTCATAACCTAACTGACGGACTAATTAGATTTTTAATTTTTTATACACCGTCTTCATACCTATAGTGTAAAATTTAAAATAGGCTACAAACCTGTGTCAACATGTCCCGAATTAAATTCAAGCTGCCTTTCTGACTGGGGCATATGTCAGCAGGGTTATACGGCACTTCTCTTTGACGATAGAATTCTTCTAATTTCAGTACAAACTCCATATGGCCAAATGTTTGTACCAGTGGTATTACCTCTATGTTCAATTGCTTTGCTGCCACTAGAAATTCAGTGAGCTACAAACATAAATACATCACCATTATCGTCATCCGATCGGCAACGATCAACATCGGTCGATTGGTAGCTGCGGACGACCTAACGGGTTGCCGGGAATCCGACTCGCAGCAGAAGTAGGAACGTGGTGGTTTTTAGTCAGTAAGAGTCTCGACGCTCCCTCTTGTTTCAACTCAGGTGGAAGAAGTCACTGGATAATTGTACCCCCACGAAAAATGGGTTGTGAGCCCAAGGAGTTCCGAAAATTTCGTACTTTTTAGCTAGGACAGCTAGTTTTTTAAGATATGTTTCATGTAATTTAGTCAATAAGACTGACAAAATCCATTAGCACTACTGGAATCTGCTTACTGCCGCGTGAGCAGAGACGTCATGCATTTTTAAATGTTCTACAGTCGGTGGCGCTGTGGGCTGGGTCGCTCCTTTCCCTACGAAATGGTTGATCGGACCGATTGCTAGCCCTCACGTCATCGTGAACGGATGCCTTCTGCTGGAGCAGGTCGGCTTGCTAATCGCGCGGGTGGGCCGATCCAGTAGGGTTAATGTAAATGTAATAAAACATGTATTGTGTATATATAGGTAGTAGACACAACCCCCTTTGTGAGTGGTTAATGTAGCACGTAAGATTTTTGTATCAAATAATTTTGACTAAAATAAAAGAAAATGTAATTGAATGACAAGAGCACGGACAAGAGTCCATGGAGAAAAAGAAATCTAATAAGTATAAAAAAAAGATCTATTACATTTTAATATACTAAAGTCAAAAAACATATATTTTATAGTGATTGAGCTGTAGGGCGAAATCACTATAAAATACAGTGAAACTTGGTTAAGTGGGACCTGGATAAGTGAGAAACCTCCATAACTGGAACTCATGCTGAGGTCCCAACACTTTGGCACTGAATTACCTCTGTTAGTGGGACGAGGTAATCTCTATATCTGGGATTTGTTCGTTCGATTTATCATCATAGTTACCTCTATAACTGAGACAGCGAGTAAATTTTATATGCATAAACCTCTGTAACTGAGATAACATTGTTTGTTTACTCATTCTTATTCTACCCACAAATTCCACACGTAATTCCAAGTCCACCTCTATTAATGGAACCCTCTGTATGAGACAGATATTTATTTATACCTGTATATATGAGACACTGGGTAAGTGGAATACCTCTATAAGTGAAACGACTTTGCAGGTCCCTTGATGTCTCACTTAACCAGGTTTCACTGTATATGTGAGCAGTTCGAGTAAGCACCTAAACAGAAATCGCGTATGAGCAGTAAGGCATTACAATTACAACGCGAAGTATGGTCCGATTAAATTACTTTGGATAACTACAGGAAAAACATACATACCTCTGGTTTCGTATAAGCTATTTCGGAACTTAAGTTAGCAAGTTTCCCGTCGTACGGAAACATATCTTCATATTCCATCAGGACCGAGTTAACTCCATACCTCTTCAAAGTAGACAGAAGTATTATCAGATAACTGATAAATGGTGGAGATCCCTTCAAATCAAAATGTACGGCGACGTAATCAATATCAACTTTAACAATATTGGCATCACCATATACCAAGTTGTAATTGATAAGTTTGTAGATAAAGCACGCGATAACAAAAACTACAGCGAACTTTTTCGTTATACTTATTTTTCTGAAAGACTTGAACATCGTGTTGTGAAACACGTTATTAGAGGTATTTATCGCTACCACTGACTCGCGTCGTTTGTCCAGTGTTATGCCAGTAATTGTATAGGTTTGCAGTTATGCGGTTTCAGTGTCTGCCGACTACGTAATCCTTACTTAGGGATTAGAAAACAGTAGTTCATACTGCCTTGACCGATTAAAAGTTTAATATCAAATTTTTGAAGCAAACAAATTTGCAATTGTGACGATCTTCGCACAAAAGTCGTACAATGTTTTAATTATCAAAAAGATGTCTAATTTAACAGATTTAAAGTACGTAAGCAAAGAACATTAATAATAAAAATCTTTAGAGAAAATATACTTTGTAAATGTCAAAATATATTTGTCCGTCAGATATTCCATAAATCCGTTCGGTAGGAGACGAACTAGCAAGAACCTTCATGGTTAATCTTACGAAATACAGATTAAAGGAACCTCATTTATTTATGTTTTCTTCGTCGTTTACTCCTCAGCTGCTGCAACTCCTATGAACCAGGATCTACAGTTGATACAACCGTCAAACATCGAAACACAACTGTGTTAACGGGTTACCGGGGCTCTGGCTCGAAGTGCACGAGTAGGAACGGGGTGGTTCTTAGTCAGTAAGAGTCTGACACTCCCTCCTGCATCACCCAGGCGGGAGAAGTCATCCGATGATTTTCCGCCCTTAAAAAATGTGTATGTCATCTACAATTGCTACAAGTGTTGGGCAATTTGAAATCGTTTTAACACAGCGGCTGCAGTCGTGAGCGCGGGCTTAAGTTCCTATGTATGTATAATAAACTATGTCCGGATGATCAGTGACGTAGCTGGGGGGGGAGGGGGACCGACGCCTTCTATGACTATCAGTTATGTTCGGGAAATAAAACACTTGTAATTTTTGTTTTTTGTAACATAATATTTATTTTCTAACAATTACACATAAAGCGTTGTATACATAGTTTTATATATTTTTAAATATCGATATTATTCGTGCAAAAGGCAATGTATAGGAGGGATTTTATATTTAATTTTATTAATATTATAAATGCTTCAGTTCGTAAGTTTCTGTGTACGTTTTTTACTTAATACGGTAGTTGATAATTATTATTAGTCAAATTCTATATTTTACAATTGTCCGAGTAGTCCATGTACGTACATAGAAGTCTGTAGTTCACTATGCAGTCGCAGCTTGAAGCAGACGCTCCAGTGCCTGGCTTTTTTATGACATAAGCCGGTAAACGAGCAGACGGATCACTTGATGGTAAGCAATCGGCGTCGCTCATAGACACCAGAGGCGTTATAAGTGGGTTACCGGCCATTTGGGGATTAGCTGTTTGAGGATCGTTGAGGATTCAGGGATTGGGGAGATTGGGAAAGGAGGTAATTGGGCCTCCGGTAACCTCACTCACACGACGAAACACAACGCAAGCGTTGCTTCACATCGGTTTTCTGTGAGGCCGTGGTATCACGCTGCTGCTCTTAGGACAACTTAACTGATGGGACCATTACGACATGACAACACTAGCGCCGTCTAGTGAGCGTGAAATCGAACCCTCATCTGTTTTTATATTGATCCAGCCTTTAGCATTTATAATTTTTTAAGTAGGTATAGATTTGGCGAAAATAGGTATATATTTTTTTATCCACTCTTTCTCTCTCCGGGTCTCTTTTGAGAGGACCTGGTGCCTTCATACAGGTATTGAGGGTGGCCACCGGGGTGGTATGAGGTAAAAATCCCACTCTCCCTATTCTTTAACCCCAAAACGCTAGGCGCATATTGAAGGTTTCCCCCCGTCATCAAAAAAAATATATTTTTTTTTATCCTATGCATTGTGTAGTGTTGTAGGCACCTATTTATTCTTAACTCCGATATATGTATGTATATTTTAAAAATCTAAACAGTGAAATCTACAAATATATGTGATTTAGATATTTTCTTAAATATACACTCGAGAGCGAGGGAACAAAGAAACTGAGTCACCAGCTTGTTTTTCATTTTAACTGCGATGCGGATGCAACGCAGAAAATTACGATACGAATTACTGCGATGCGATTTCGTGCGACAAGGCGTCTCCCAGGGTGACCATTCCTTCGACGACCGTCGACCGTACTAAACGTATTTTAAATTGAAAACTAGGTCGTGATATGGATTGTAAAAAGAAGTGTGCACTTCTGTTATTGCTTACGAGATACAGGAAAAGGAAACAAAGATTTCGGGAAGATAAGATTTTGATGCGCGATGCGAATCAATTCACAAGTTCTTGCGATGCGTAGAGGGAGCTCGCACATTTTTGCGATGGGACATCGCATCGTAGTATTGTGTACGAGCCCTTAAAGGCAATGAAATCAGAAAATATTTTATCCAGTATTAAATATTTATCAAGAAATGACAAAAAAATGCTTTATAGTGGCTCCATTTCATTTGCTCCTAACTGTATTCTTACTACAACGATACTTAAGTCCTTGATAACGTTAACTAGCAGGTAGTGCGTATCTAAAGCTAACTAATTGTGCGATCAACATAAAGATAATTAGATAATTTACTTGTTCTCGTAACTGATCGAGAGTACTCGACGCGTTTCAAGTTACAATCAGGATTTATAAACTCATGTTTATGCATGCATGCAGCATGCAGTGAGCAGCATGCATTGTAGTCACAGTGCATACTGCTATAATGAAGTGATTACTGTTTTTCTTTTATTGCGAGATAGAATAAGATAAAAATCTATGAATGCAGTTCGAACTATAAATAAAATGGTATGTTCTTTCAGTAAAATTGTGTTTAACTTTTTGCACGCTCATGGGCCTGCGGACACCAGAACCACAGAGATTGTCTTGAGAGAGGCTTCTGCTCCACGCTCCTTTTAAAGTTCCAACTGCAAGACTCCATAGGAGCGGGTCTGCGGACGGCGATCAGGGGTGGCTCGCCGTCCGATCAGAAACAGACCCGAGCGTATGGCGCGTCGTGTACCGCGCGCGCCTCAAAGACCACCACCGATGGGACCCAATAGGGCTGGTTCCGATACGGACCCGTGGAATACTTAACGGGTTGCCAGGGCTCCGGCTCGAAGAGCAGGAGGAGGAACGGGGTGGTTTTTAGTCAGTAAGAGTTCGACACTCGCCTCACTCAAGGCGGGAAGTCATTGGATCATTTCCCCCTAAACAAGTCAGGAGTCGGACATTCGCTCCCGCCTCACCCGGGCGGGAGAAGCCTTTGGACTATTTTTCCCTTCAAAAAAACCTTGCTTCTCGACGCCTCGTGACACCTCCTACAGGTGTAGGTACTTAGGCTACAAAAGCTTACCACCATAAAAACTTTGGGGCCGTTCAAGTATTACGTAAGCACTATGGGGGTGTGGGGGGGGTCTCTGTTTTGCTTGTTTCGAATGATATAGGGGGGGTAGGGGAGTCTAGATGATGATTACGTCATCGGTAGTTATTTACTTCTTACACGAATGGCAACCCTCATATTGGAATTATAAATTACTAGCAAAGACCGACAAAGAACTAGACATTATGGTATCTAAGAGAATATTAAAATTACAATACAAAAAGATATAATTTAAAATGTTCACTTAAGCAAAGGGGGAGGGGGTAAGATCTTTACTTACTTTTTCTGATAAGGGGGATGGGGGATGGGGGGGTAAATAATTGTCAAAAATCTGCTTACGTAATATTTGAACGGCCGCTTTGAAGCTTCAAAAAAAAATAAAAAGAACAAAAAATCAGTAAAATATTTATATTATCAGCTTAATAACAGATCTAAGAGTTACTTAATTAAATAGAGCACTTGAGTTAAATAGAAAAATTAAAAAAAAATGTATCTACGTATTAAAATCCGTCGTTCACTACCTACCCACTTTAACGTGTACTTCGATTTTATCTCAAAAACACATTGGAACCGTTGCGTCCTCAAGTACTCTTCAGAACCCTGGTCACAAAATAAATAAATGAATGTTTTTAGATTTCATTGAAATAGCATTTTTTTCTCGTCAAATATCATAAATATTTTAAAGATAGAGTAGTATATTTTTCTGCACCCCTTCTATTCCCGCGGGTGTCTTATACCCGATGTAGACAGAGGTGCTCATATACGATGTAACACCCACTTTTCACTATTTATGTTGAGTCCCATGTAATAGGGGGTGAGCCTATTGCCATATACAGGGCACAGTTCCAGACTGTTTTTAAAAAAATCTTAAAACTGAAAAATACTCAATAATACTTTGTCTGACCTGAGAATCGAAGCCAAAGTCGACAAAGCCGTATTTATTTATCAAGTTTTTCAATTTGAGCACCCTAGTTTTCATTGACGGACTATTCTGATGAAAAGTGGCAATTATGATTATAAATTTTTAAACTCTCGACGTACGAAAATGATATTTCAGTGAAATCCTGAAATGGAATGAAGACATCGGTTTTTCAGTAACAACATTTTTGCTTAAAGATCCCCCTAAAATATTTCAATTTTATTTATATTATTTATAACGTTTATTTTTCGAAAAAATCTACCCTGGATTGGACATGGTCAGAGGACAAAAATATTTGTCAAATTAATCAATTTCGCTATTTTCATTTACTTATATACGGCCAATGGTCAAAAGTCCACTGGCATCGTAAGACTATATCGGTTGCGCTGCAGCGCTTATAGTGCGCTACACACACACGCATATTTTTATCCGTGTGCGTATACGTGCGTGTGTTTATGCGTACGTACGCGTTTTTATGCACAGTAATATGAAATTACTTACGCATTGCCGTGTAAACATCACTCACGGTGGCAGTGGACTTTTGACCTTTGACTGTACCTACTTTACGAAGTACAAAAATTATGTTTAAATTATAACCTTCGTGAGGCATACAAAATTAATTATTTGCAGCTTACTCACGTAATTATTTGACATGAAACTCGACTAGTTTCAAGTCGTACTAGAGGCTCATATTAATGAACAGCATTCCGCGACGATGCGGCGACTATCAGTAGCCTAGAATATTTCTATCATAGCTTAAAACTAGTCGAGTTTCTCGTCAAACAGTTACATGCGTTATTCGAAAACATAATAATTACATAAATTACTTTAATTCATAATAAAATATATTATTCGTTAGGTTTTCTTTATACAATGGTCTTATAACGGCTTGGAAAAGTAGGATAAGGAGAAGTGGTAGTGAATAGGTATGTTTTATCCCTTTCTCGCTATTATAAAGTCAAAAAAGGACATAGGTTATAGTAAGAAAATAATTATTGTTTAATTTTACTTGACGATAATATTATAACTCGACTGATTTCAAGTCAAGTTGAAAC